GGCCTTCAACTCAACATTTAGATATATCGACGACATTTTATCAATTACTAGTAACAATATTTACTTTCATTTATATGTCGACTTGATATATCCCAGTGAACTCGTAATTAAAGACACCTCAGAGTCTGCCACATCTGTTTCATATTTGGATGTTTTACTGACTAGAGATGATAATTGCCATCTATTAACTAAACTGTATAACAAACAGGATGACTTCAGCTTTTCCAATGTAAACTTTCCTATTGTATTTAGTAATATTCCAACATCACCTGCATATGTTGTTTATGCCTCTCGGCTGATTCGATAGGCAAGAGCATGCTCTGAGTACGATCAATTTTTAAAGAGAGGCAAGCTACCACAAATAGTTGATGCAACAAGGATTACAACAACATCGATCAAAGTCTTACTTTTTACAAATAATGACCTTGTTTGTAAATACAGCCTATCACTGGGTCGTATTTTGTCTGTCATGAAATATGCAGATATCGAACAGTAATCAAGCTCAAAAGTCCATTGAAACAAAACATATTAGGAGCAGAGCAAACATGGACCTCTAAAAACATCAGAGGTGGGATCAGGTGCCATGGAGGAGAAAGCATCCCCTGTCGACCGGTCACACCCGCCGTGTGCTACTTGTCATGATCGGACAAACGAAAAATTTGTAGACAAATTCAGTGTTTAAATAATTGTCTAACAATTTGAATGATAAACGTCAGACAGCATTCGACTTAATGATAGATTGTATTTGCTGACAAGATAATTGTATCGACCATAGAATTTGCGAAATGATGACTTTGAACGACACTGTTGAAATCCTTGCTGACATTCTTGTTTCATCAACTTATTTACCAATAGCTTGCCTCGTTTTAGAAATTGTTCGTATGTGGAGCATGCTCTTGAGTATCGAAACAACTGGGAGATATAAACCTCATATGCAGGTGATTAAGGGTATACTGCTACATAAGTAAGGGAAATTGACGATAGAAAAGTTGGAAGTTATCACGTTTATCATAGAATTTTGTTGTTAAGTTACAATTAACGTCTTTCATGATTCGTTTTGTTACTTAATTTGTGAGATTGGCCACTGCTCGTATTCTTCATCTTTTTTTCATTTACGTGAAATTTACATTTACATTCTGGTCTTTTTCTGTGCATTCTTTTCATGTACGTGAGGACATTTACCTATGTACAGCCTCCCTTTCTGATAAAGATGTCAGCGAAATTTATAGTATTTCGTCAATCTGAAAAAAAAAAATGTGAAGTTGTGATACTGAAAGGTCTGGGCAAGAGGATTAATTTCCATGCATACGACAGCAAATAAGTATAAAAAGGGAAAACAAAACATTTTATTAAAGGACAAAATGCAAATTACATAACCATTAGCGATTTTAAACCGAGATGTTGAATCACTGTCTACATTCCAATCGATATGGTTTTATCATTGCACCGAGGCCAAGCAGAAACTTAGCAATGCTTTTTACAGTTTTTTTTCAACAAACAAATGATTCTAAGAGGCGTTAATGTAGGGAAGTGTATTTTTAAAGTGCGCTAGATGACATTTCGTTCAAACATGGCAGAAGTTTATTGAAATGCAGAAATCACACGTTGATAATTACCTGTAGTACAAACAAATTGCATTTTAATTTTTGTCTCGTTCAAATATGTGAGATTGAATCCTACATTTTAATCAAGACTAAACCCGTTTTTAATATATCACAGGTTTGTATGAGATCTCGGGTACCAGCACAATGATTAGATGTATAGAAAGTTTAAATGTGCCAAGCCACGCTTGTTGGTTCCCTTTTGTTAGGCTTGTCATAGAGTCTGCACGTTTTGTATTGCATATTGAGGAAATGTTTATCAATACTTTCGGAAGAATTACTTACTTTATAAACAAATTGAATGACAATTTTTTCGCCTCAGAATTGAACGATATTAAAGAGGTCAGGATAGGGGAATTTATTACCCATTTACACGAAACAACATTGAAAATGAATAAATTCATTGCTATTGAGTGATACAGAAAAAACCATTTCATTAATATTCAAAACGTACTAAATAATTTAAAAAATATAATGATATATTTCATATCATAAATAACGTTCCCCAAAGATTACCCGCTAGAATAGTGTATACATTTATATACCATAAGGATTTTCAGTTATACACTGTTAATATATTTAAGTCATGGATGTAAATACTTGTGTAATGTTTTGCAAAAGGTGATTTTAAAACAATGAAATATATCGTAAAGATATTCGAATAAAACATCAAAATGGATATAATAAGAGCCGAAAAAGATAAATTAATATTCATTGAGAGAGTACATGGTAAGTGCTCAAAGTGAGGCGATCCACCACCTGTGTGGTATGATGGCTTATAATTAACTAGATTATGACGAGGTGGATCTTCTGAATACGAAAAAAAAACTCAAACATGGAGTTTACGAACGTGAATAGCAAGGATTTGAAATACTTCGTGAACCACAACAGAAAGGTACTGTATAGTAGTACACATATATCAATTATTATTAGCCATTACGTTTTGTATTTATGTAATGATGCAAGTGCTCGTTTGTAGTTTATTTTTATGGAGAGATTGATACCCTTGTCTCATTATCTTTACATGAAGACTTAAATTAATTCTAATGTTGATTACGTCAAGTTATACTATAACATTTAGGAGAATTATTTCGATTTACTCAATTTAAACAGAGTAAAACAATTATTCGGATGAAATAAAATCAATAAGAATAACACGACACGAACGAAGTAAAAAAAGCTCTTTGGTGTCATTTCTCAAAGATTAATTGTCGTTAAGGTCATTCATAAAACACTTGTAATCGGGAAAGTCGAATAAAGTCTGTGTCAGTAGTTTAGTTTCATTAGAACTTTCATTAAGTATACATACGGAGACAAAAGCCATGCTGGACACAGTGAATATTGTCAGACTGTGTGCTTAATATACCGATGGTCAAATGCACAATTCTTTGAGTTTCTCTCCTATTCTATTATTTTCCTTGCCAATGAATTTCTTCTCTTGAAAAAAACTTTCTGTTTTTAACCTGGTGCTGAAGCAATGAATACCAACACAAAGAACAGTATTATGTAGCAGTTCTTTTATTTGCTATAACCTTGAATGTAACATCACAGGCGACAATAAAGACATCTAGACCTGAAATTAAACAAAACCAATAAAATAGTAATATCACAAAATAGGTCGCTCTCATTTTCCTCTTTCGTGATATCTTTAGGATGCAGGAATAGTTTTCCAGGTAACAGTTTGTTAATAACGGCTTATTATCTCTTCTGGCTTTCATTTCATGGATTCCCTAATTATCAAACCACATTCAGAGCAGCACGCAACAGAGATCCATCAAATAGGAAACCTTTCGTTCACTGGTATTATGAAATAATTCAATATGAAAGATTTGCCTGAAACAGATTTAAAAAGAAAATTGTGCTTTTTAGATACATGTGAGGCTCTAGTGTCTATGGGTAACAAGTAAATTTCTTTCATTGAATGTGGATTAAAACGTTCCACTTGGCAAAGGATGATTTTTTACGCACAACGAATGGGTGAGGTGTCATTCTTTTGTGATAATATCTATTTAACACGTCAGTGAAGAATTAGATTCATTCAAGCAAAATAATTTTAAAAACTTTTGATGCTGTCATTGAATGTAAAATTTTATTTAATGAATGCTTTAAGGGACAAATTGAATGTGAAATACCTTTTTACCCTGATAAAATATCTGAAATAGCGAAAGTGTATTAAATTAAAAAAAAAATCGTATCATAATTTTGTTAAAATGAGGTTCTAAGTGACATAATATACATCTGAATTTCTCACTTCGTTAAATCAAAACCAAGAACCTCAGCAATCAAAATGTTGCGGGAAAGATGGCCCGGATTTGTAAGTAGATATTTTTTAAAACTTAATCTTTGGATAAATTGACTTCACTTTTTGAACGAGTTCTGAAGAGATATCCAAATAAAGCAACAAATATTTTTGCATTAAAAATACTTTTGAAAAAAGGAACATTTTTATGTATGACAGTTATTTTCATACATAAAATGTCTATATAGAATTAACTTGTTCAAAACTGTTCTAAATTCCAAAACAAATTACAAAACATTATCTTGCCGATTGAGGTAAGATAACATTTTTAGTAAACTAAAAATCGCCTCTTTATTTTAAATTAAAGTATTGTCTAGGTGGGGTATTTCTCTTCAATATTTGTAGCCTCTCAGAAATACACGTTGTATAAAAAAGCATGTAAGTTACTCTTTTTGGTATCTCTGTCTACTCTTTTGATAAAAGCGTTAACACTAGTTCATAGATTATCATGCATTCATTAGGTTATTAAACATTTTCGAGTATGTTGGCATTTTAGGTGCATTCTAGGTGGATAGAGGAAAGGTTTGTCTTTTGCATCAATCGATTTAATTTTAACTTCATAACATTCCCACTCTTCCAATTTAAACTCAAAATGTTTCACTCTGACTCCTGTCTAGAGACCAGTGGCAACTTTCAATACCCTTCTAGTTTATTTCAGCACATATCTCTTTTTTTTTTTTTTTTTTTTTTTAAAGAAAATTTTTCATGAAAACAAAACTTTAATCCGGAAACACTGATGACTGCAATGACTACTGGGTCTATTCAATGTCTGAGTAAATTGCACATGCTAATGATTATAACAATCATGTCATATTTAAACGCAAAGATTTATTCGGAGTGTATGCAGCAAAAACTTTTTATTACCTTTTTTACCTGTGTGTTTAATAGCATGTTTGGATGTTCACCTTTGGTAAATAATGCAAGGTTTCCAAGAGAGACGGGGACATCTTTAGTTGAAATTTACAGGGAGCAAACATTATGTAAATGATTTGAAAGCATCAGTATTTGAAACACAACAATAAATGATAGAAAGAACCTTAAAAGATGGATATCTTAAAGACAATTGGTAAATACACACCATTACGTACCGTTCGGTTCTCGATCCTGAGATGGGTGTCGTGTAATGGGACAGGTTCCCCTGTTTAACAACCAATTCCCCCGTGTGTTTTCTGTCACTATGCTTCAGTTGCCCGGGATATATTTACCGCTATCATGGAGTTCCCAACTTCTGGCGGGTTCCATGGTCAATACCAGAGTAAGTCTAAACCTTAAGTGGTTAAAAAAAATTTCTCAATTTGATTTGATATATTTACGGCTATCATGGAGTTCCCAACTTCTGGCGGGTTCCATGGCCAATACCAGAGTAAGTCTAAACCTTAAGTGGTCAAAATTTTGTTTTCAATTTGATTTAATAGTAATGTTAGCTTCTAGCCGTTTCGAATGTAACTCTTAAGATTTCAGAAATAAGCTTGAAAAATATTTAAAAATAAGGAGACGAACCGACATAGACACGGCATACCTTTTTCCTTCCTTAACATGAATATACATGTAAGTACTTGATTGCGACGTAGAACGCTTTTACATTGGTTTTTCAATAAATAATAACTAATTTTGTCCTTGATTTGTACTAATTTTTTTTTTTGCATGTGTACAAAAAAGCAGATATCTTTCGTACTGAAACATATAATCAAATTTTACTAACTCTATGCAGAAAACTATGCCTCCATGTATAATTATGGGATTTCATAAAATTGAGAATAAAGACAAAAATTTGTTTCAAGAGAAAAAGTTCGTTATGGATACTAATATTAGGCTTCTTTTCTTCCACGCAAATCTAGACTGATACAGCGGATTGCAATGAGCAGAAGTCATTTGTATTTTTATTGCTGTCATCAGAATTTATTTCACATCTTAGCAAGGCTGGCGTTTTTTGTTATCAAAGGTCGATAGACGTTTATAAGTATTTTATTTGTATTCCGTGTAATTTATTCTTCTCCTGATAATCAAATGCACATTATGGGGATCAGGCATCCACGTTGGACATCCCAGGACAATATCGGAATCAAATACTCTTAGATTCACTGCTGGAAACGAACCGGGCGCTACTAATACCACACAATCCCCCCGTTTCATTGTAAAAATTTATAGTAAGAATAACATCGGAATTATTTGTACGATCTGATTAATTCTTGGGTTTCTCATCTTTTCGTACAGTTTACCACTATGATTAAAAGGTGAATACACTTTATATTGCAGGTAGCCGGAATAACAGAAATGTACCAAAAGAAGAATCCGTCCCCGAATCAAAACAGAGATCGTTATAGAAACAATCTTCGAGAATCAGAAGACAATCTCAGACGCAGACGTTCGAAAGAGATAAGAAGCAGACGAGAGCTTGAACTCGAAGAAGATTTGGTGAAAACCGGAAGTGAGGACGAAAATGATAAAAATAAACGTAAGCCCAATAGGCGACGTAAATATGTCAAAAATAAAGAGGAGAAAACATACTCAAAATTAAATAAAGAAAGACGAGAGTGGAAAAATCAAAAGACTAGAAAGGAGGAGATGCTCCGATTTAATGATAGACAAAGAAAGAGACCGCTAGGTCAAGAAAAGCAATTTAAACAATATGGGAATATTAGAAGCGTGCCAAATCTTCGGGTGACATACTTAGGTTCTCAAGCGAGGGTGTCCGACGACTCGAGCGCAGTCCCATTACGGCTTCCAAAAAAGGATCTCCAAGATGATGGTCTTCCATATAAAACGTCAGTGACACGACATACTCAAAACACACACGATTTAGAAAAGCTAATGGATTCATATCGAGAAAGAAACCCCAAAAATCATTTATCTAATTCTATCTCCAACTCCGACATTAGTGGAGTCGAAGACCTAAAGGCAAAAGCACGAAGTAAAAGGGCTTCCATTTTAAATCGTGCCGAACGGTTACTTCATAGTCGGAGAATGAGGGAGGATTATTCCAGCGGGGAAGATGGAGACACTGAAAAAAGTGACAGAAATGACAACGTGGTTCACAAACGAAGAGTGGACTATCCTTCCAGTGATGACGATAAATATGTTATGGTGAAGACAACAGTGTCCCCATCGGACTCTGAAATACTTACTGACCTAGATGTAGCACTTCCGCCTATACCCCAGTTTGACTCGCCTTCCGGCAAATCACTGCCTTCCATGACAAAAGTAAGTGAGCAGTTTTAGTTTAATTCGCACATTACATGTTGCTTTTTTTTATACATTAAAGAGCATTTTTCGCTCTTTTTATCAAATTATGTAAACTTAATGCCAATTTGTATGCAAGGCAATGTTAAGATGAAACGCTTAAGCCACAAATTATGGTTCATAAATTAGCCATGGATAATTTATGAAATATATTCATTAGATAAGAAATAATTTTCATGTGAAGCCAAAATAAAACCACAACGAATATGTATATTTCATAATGAGAAAATACTTTTCCGTTCATACTTCTATTGTACCTGCAGCCTGAATTTTTAAAGAAAATATTAACATTATTTATGTGACTAAATCAACTTTATATTTTATTATTTTCATGATTTCACTTTGATACGTGAAAAGAAAACACAATCTTAAATTTTTATTATGCTGTAATTCAACTTGCAACAAATCAGTCATTGTCGTGATTCGTACACACCACCTTCCGATCACGTAGCGAGCGCTCTACCGATGTTTGGTTAGTTATACAATCCTTTCGTTTAATATGGAAGTCATAACAATTCAATTTTAAATAGTACTGATTATTTAAAGTATGTGAAAACATTCCACACTAAAGCAGATCTTCGTTGAAAAACAATTTATTTTACAACATGTACTTCTCTTTGAATTTAACTAAACACACTTGATTTTTAGTGAAGAGAATTTCAACAAATGGTATTCTAGCCCATGCAATGAAAGTGAATTGATAATTTAAAAAAGTTAAAAATGCTGTATTGATAATAAAAAAAAAAGTTTAAAATGCTGTTATTGAAGAAGAATTTTATTTTAAAATCAAATCGATTTCTTTACAAGGATTTTCAAATTGAAGAAAATGTAGAAATAGTTAGGAACATAAGCTGTTTATATTTTATTAGATAATTGTTTTACTGCTATCGCTTCATCTCATGTTGGGCAGGTGACGATGAACTATAGTTCTGACTTTGCATCAGCTGCATTAGAGCCATAAATATGCTAAACTGATCGATCATCAGAAAATAGATTTAATGACAGCCGCTTAAAGGTTATTAACACTCTTAGAATTAAATACATATGTAAAAAGTACCATGGATCAACTGTTATAAAGTTCTATTTTATCTTCCTTTCAATGAAATTTTAATATATAGCCCTAGAGTTATTTATTTAAGTTGTTGTACGTTGAAAACTAGAAACATGCGATGATATTATCGGAAAAAAAAAAATCACTAATTCTCTCTCTCACTTTCTCTCTCTCTCCCTCTCTTAAATTATTTATAACTTTTTGGTCGAATCGAACAATCCTTCATCATATAGGTAAAAGTAAACACAGTGTTAATACCCCTATGTGCGTCTTAAGGAAAGCAAAGAATGTCCAATGGATATTTAAAAAATTTTGAAACGCAGAGTTCAGATAAAATACGAACCGGAAAAGAAACAACAGTCAATTCACAATAAAGGGGATATTGACTAAATCTCCAAAGAATTCCCAATTTTTCTCCGCGGAAAACATTGCAATACAAGAGCAAACATAGATATGACAAAACATCTCCAAGAGGTGGAAAGCCCAGTGATACTCAAGGCTATCAAGCAATATCAGTCAGATGATTCTGTCAATATGACAGTGAAAACTTTGGAAATATTAGGCATTACCTAATTAGGTAAGGGAATTAATTATCATATATACACATGGGACTGAAATTGCAATTAAGGAAAATGAGCGATAACAGTGATTTGCCGATTACACACAGAGGTTCGGAGGAAGGAAGGGTTAATAGAATTCCTAAAATTGTCGTCTCTAGTCCGACCGACCTGCAAGAAAATATCATCGTTGAAAGTACATTTAAATCCAAAGATGGGGAGAGTAATATAAGGAGCAAGAACTCAATGTTAGCGAAACCTGCCCCTATTGACAAAGAAGGGCTTAAAAAGGCCAAGCTCAGGCGGACCAACGTTGTGAAAAGAGAAAATGAAGGAAGATGTATGACACCTAACTGGCAAAAAGAATTCGTTAAAAGACAAACTGTGAATCTAATTAATAAAGACAAATTTCGAAGTAAAATATCAGAGTCTATTCCGGAGTCAGAAGAGGTGCCAAAGAAATCCACCGTGAAGTCAAAAAGCAAAAGTGACCCAAACGATGCAGATAAAAGTTTAAAACTCACGAAAACGTGGAAAATGGAGTCAAAAGGAGGAATTGGGCATACTGTTCTAGAAAACAAGAAAACCTCTACGGTTAAGACAGAAACATTTACTAATGACTTGCAGACAAGTTCAAAGAAACAGAAAGGTTACAAAGATTTAAAAACTTTTATCAGCAAGAACACCGTAACTTCTAGAAACTCAAAAGCAGGGGATTTACATAGAGGCAATAAAAAAGGAGGTGAAATTGAAAGTAGGATGAAAAATAAAGATGTTGAAAACATCATGGCTGTCAAAGAAAGTGAAAATAAAAGTATCTCGGAAGCAAAAACAAACAGAGTCTTGAAGAATCAAAAAGGTAAAGGGATTAAAAACATTTCAAAGGGTTATTTGAATATTCCAAAATCAGAGGAAAATACGAATAAAAATTCCATTACAAACTTAGACCCTAACGAGAGACAAATTACTGAAAACATTGATGAACATGTAAAGAACCCGGTAACAAATTTCAATTCTTTCGAAAAGCGTAAGAAGTATGGAGATGATTTAAGACGGAGAATACGAAAGAAATGGAATATCGACGAATGCAATCGTCAACTGTTATACAGCCATGTGTATGGAAGAAGAGAAGAAAGTGTTAACAAAGTTCAAACTCTGGTCAAGGAAGAGAAGGACAAACGACAAGTATCCTTTTCCAATAATGGTTTACCAATTAGGTTTTCCAAATACACTGATAAGGATAATTCTTTTGCTCGCTATAACGATACTTCATCATTGAGCTCCCTTACATCGGCCGAAGAAAAACGTAAAATAGCAGCAATAGTAAAACCAATGCCTTCGAAAACACAGCCAATTAGTCATTCTATTGGTTCTAAGAGTAGTCGACCACATGTTCCGAGAAGCCCCACTTTTACAAAGGAAGCACCAGAAGTTCTACAGAATTATCAAGAAAGACGTCGCATGAAACATGTTCGTCATACCCAACTTGATCCTCAAAATGTCGATAGACATACCCAACTTGACCCACAGAATGTCGATACAAAATTGAAATATAAACCACACATTCATAGACGCGACAGTGCAAACGAGGCTGTACATCTGTACACTGAGGTGCACGTCCCTGTCAAAAGAGAATATCAAAAGAACTTTGATTCATTTGTGCTTTTGGATAAAAATTTTGACGATTCTGAAGATTTGAAAGAGAACTTTTCTGATGACAAAGTAATTTCCAAAAGTTCTCAAATCGGAAGCTATCTCTCATTAAGAAGGAAGGAAAACTCAAATTCACCTGTTCTAGAAATTGTGTTTCAGCCAAATATGGGAGAAATTGTTGTGACAGAACAAGAACAAAATACTTTTAGTGCAACAAGAGTGTATATGAAGTCAGGAACAGTTTCGGCTTTTCTCCATCGGAGCACCTCTGCACCTTCCCCTGAAAACCTATCTGACATATCTGAGATAGACGGTGTACATATGCAGAGAAGCAAGGTAATGTTCCGAGAATACATCCCTTTAATCTTTCACACTTCTTCTGGAATATCACCGATAAGCAATCTAAAACAAGTTATAGAAATAACATGTGCACATGTAAAAATATCAATTCAATTGTCTGTGCTGTAAGGAATTATATATGTTTGGTATATTCTTTTTCGAATTATCATTAAAATAAATCAAATCGGTACTAAGAAAATTTTTATCATCGAGCCTTTTACCTAGCTGGAAAAGACTGCACAACAAAAGAAGTTATCCCTCTTCGGTCTAAATATATGTTGCATGTATCAAAAACCAAAAGGGTTTAAGTAGGGAAAAAGTAATTAACAAAGATTAATTGTAGATAATCGAGCGAAAGTATATTTTTTACAAACGAATTATATTTTATTTAATCCTTCACGAAATTATCAATCTATTGGAAATCAAATCAAAGGAAAAGCACCGTTATGAAATCTTTCGTATTCCTTGGAGCAATTCCGATACCTTCAAAAGCCAATGAAAACACTGACGTTAGGTAAGGAAACTCATCCAATATTTAACAACTTCTTTCTTAATTGTACGGAACCTAATAAAACATGCTAAGGGCAAGGAATGGACACAGTAGAGGTTACAAAGCCGTCTCTCCCGTTACAGCTCAAAGGTGTTTATACCAACACACTAGAGTTTAACGAAAATCTGACCAAGAATCACTTTGACAGATGAAGACATTCTTTCCTTTTGTTTTAACAAAGAATGCATAAAATGGTGAACGTACAAGTCTAAGAAGGAAATGATGGATTAATTACCATATTTATTGTAATGAACACGCCGATGCCACAGTCAAGTGTTGGAAGTCGTCGAAACAGTCGTCGACTGTCCAGAAAGATGTCCACTGCTAACTGGTCAATCGACAGTCGAAGATATAGCATGGCAGATACTGCTTCACTGAAGAGACTCGATGAAAGCAGAGAAAGTGGAAATCAAGACAAAGTTAATCAGAGACGATCATCTCGATCTCTAACTCACTCGAAATCATCGAAACACATAGACCTCAGGCGCTTCACCGCGGACAATATTTTCGATGAATTTAATTCTGACAAAATTACAAATCGCAGAAAATTAATAAAAGAAAACGACATCAGACCTAGTGATACCTCTGCTATTTCTCTCACGGAACACGTCATTCCGGAAAACGGAGAATATTCTAATTGTGGGATATCCCCAAAGAGTTTATCGCTCCTGAGAAAAAATTCTACAGAGGAGAAACCTTTTACTCAGTCGACGTCAACTGGTTCACAAAATGACAGCGAAATGACTCTAGGCGACGTGAGTTGGTTATTTTTAACTTGCACATTTTGAAAAGTCAACTAAAATTCCAGAAC